AATGTGCTGTAAAAGATCCAGGTGGGACTGACCATGATCGCTGTGGGGGTTGCCACAGAGAAAAATGAAAGACTCTTCAGACACAGTGGTACTTTAGTGCAGGTTCAACTATGGCAGCTATGTACGGGTGACTAATTTTTCCGTTTTATGTTCAGTGATGGATGAAGTAAAACTTGATTTGAAGTTTATACTGATACTGAAAAAATGACATAAATAAGACAAAACTGGGTCTTCCCTGAATAGCTTTAGAATGATCTTGTTCTATTTCAGAAACATGAGACCACATACAATAACTACTATTATGAGTTTAAAGGCCCCATGATACACAAAATGGACTCTTGTGAGCATCTAGCCATGTTAAAATCTTGTTCCCTCTCCAAAAACCTACCTGGAGTTGTGTTTTGTTTCATTCACACGTTTGAATAACACTTTATTATTAGCCTGTCTACATTTCCAAAGCTCAAAATGCTCTGTTCTATTTTTTGATGTCATATATATAGCGATATTTTTCAAGTGAATAACTCCTTTTACCTTTAGTTCACCAGTAGGAATGTAACAATAACCAAAATATCGTGATATTGTATCGTCAAAAGTCTCACAATAATGCTGTGGGCTGTCACAATATATTGAATCATAAGTTCCTTTGCTTAAATGCATGGTTTTATAGAAGCAACAACTTATAAACATATGGAACTTCATATCTATGATTTATTAGAGTGCAAACAACATGAAGAAATATGTTTTTGACTTGAATATTTGGGATTATGATGGAGTTAATTCACACCAAAATCTTATCAAGTTATTTCAAAAGCCAAAAAGTGTCCTATCTACAATTATATTATATTATCCAAAATATTGCAATAAATATCATACCATGAGATGCATATTGTGATCGTACTGAGAGATTTGGATATTGTTACATACTCAAAATGATTCTAGTGAAGTTATATTGAGCTTAAAAAACACAGTACATTTTATTTTTATTTATACATTTATATAATTATGTCATTCTCATTATTTACTATAATATATTGTGATGTGTGAGCTACTGCGTCCAAGTAATGTCCCTTGTGAAAGAATAAAGTTTGTCTATGTAAGTCTAAGATAACTTTATGTTTTACCTCAATATGCTCAGTTTGTGTGTTAAACTGGTATGTTTGTGATGACATATGAGCCCCCTGAAATAAGATTGATTATTTAAATTGCCTTTTTGGTTTGAAATTTTAGTCTACAGACAGCATTATGACTGACTCCATGTGCCACCCCATGTCACGATGCTTTTTCCAATCGTAGCTCACAGCGTCAGACCTGGAGGGGGATAATTATACGTCTGCGAATAACCAAGCCAAGTTACGTTTGCACAAATAATACAGGCTTTGATGGAGAACGTGTGACCAGCCCGATGCAGATTGGACTGATAGCTTTTAATGCCCTCATGCATGCTCTTACATAATTATGCTGTCATGTCCCTGGTTGTTTACGCGTGTAATCAATGTCGCCATGACGATTGAGGCTGTAGCCCACCTGCCCGGAGTCAATCCTGTTCCCAAATGAAACGTGAAGCCGCTCTTAATAGCCTGGAACCAAAGATGTGGTTTTTGCTGCTGTGGTATGCTAATATAACTTAAAGGGCCCATATTACGTTGTTTCCTCATCACAAACATACCTGGAGTTGTGTTTTGTTTTATTCACACATGTTTAACACACAGACCCTGCATAGTTAGGCTGATTTCTTCTCTCAGACAGAAAATAGTCTGTTCCACCTTGTGTCAAATACTCTGTATCAATAGCTGTCTTTCATGTCTAGTCCATGTTTTCTTTTTAGACTATGAGGAAAGATTTTAGACTTTGAGAGACCATCATCGTCTATTCTATTAATGGGAAACCCTGAGTTTATACAGACATCCATACTAGCCTGATTCATCAGCCGGTTTCACTTGATGGAAACTGTCTGACCTCGCAGCATTAGGATTCGTTCGCTTGATGGTAAGCGGGTGCTTTTTTATTTAACCTATCGCTGCTATTAGGTCATGACGTGTGTAATGCGCTGGAACACTTAGTGGTGTTCAAGTAATTGCTGGCACAACAGCAAACAAAGCCGAGAGTAAACATGTTTGTCAACGATCATTGTCGTTTCTATGAGATGAACTTGTGAATTAAAGGTGCAATAAAAAATGCTAAGTTTGTATTTGACAAAGGTTGGTTCGGGTTGCTTCAGCTCTTCGCTGATTGGCAGGTGCGCGGTCTACAACTTCCGGGGTTCTTGCAAACCGTCTAATGTATTCCGATTCCTGACCTAGTCATTGGAGAGAAATTAAATTGAGTGGAGGCACTAGGTGGCGCCAGCCTGGCTACATCCATACACCTTCACTAGAATCATTTGGATCGTTTCAGCCGTGGAATTTCCCGTCTTTACTAAATTCAAATGTAGCTGTTCACTTGAAAACTACAGCTACATGACATCACAAGGTGGAACAAAGCAGTTTGAGCTGTAGAGATGTAGACAGACTAATAATAATAAAGGATTACTCAAACATGTGTGAATGAAAACACAACTCCAGGTATGTTTTTGAGGATTTAACAACATTATAACATGGCTTAAAGCTCACAAGAGTCCGTTTTGTGTAATATTGGACCTTTAAAAATAGAATCCTGCAGTGTGAGTGCACATTTCAAACACGTGCAGGGGCATTACCACTTAGTAAACTAATCCAGGCATTACAGAGGTCTAAACTACAGGGTGAGCAGGGATTAGATATTCTCAATATTTAGTTGTTTACAGTAAAAAAATTATGCATTGTTATTGATTATATCTTTGTACACTGATGTTTTGAGTCAGGTGTGTAGGAGGTAAGAGAGCAGCCCAATGATCATCCATAGAACAGACTTTAGACTTTTAGACTTTAGACTTTTTGTATAATAGACTGGGGCTGGCAAAAATATTGATTAAAAAACAGCACTAAAACTGAACCAGAACTAGAACTGGACTAAAATAATAATAAATGAGGACTAATTTAAAATCTAACTAAAATCAAGTAAAAAAATACGGGCACAATTCTTGACTGTGCTAGTATTGGCAGAATTGTACATTGGTATGTAGAGAGAGGAGTATGAGAGGGTTTTTATCTATTTTATTTATTTATTTTTCTTGTTTTGTGTGTTAAAGTGTTAAAATAAATTATTATTATTATTATCGATAAATAAAATATTGATAGAAGAGACTCCACACTGTTAAATTGGGAAAATAATTGTATTACTTTAGTTTATAATAACTTTAAAGTGCACTATGTAATTTTTTGGTTGGAGAAACAATCAGGTGATGGACCCTGATTGTTTCTGTCATTGCTCTGTCTGGAATGTTCCACAGTATGACATTAAACAGCTGTACTTTACATTTATTCAATTACCGATGGTTTTATAGCTCAAAACTACCTAGAAAAACTGGATTTCTGACTGTGAGTAGGGTTGCCTCTCCACAGATCTGACCTATAACTTGGTCTGGTCTGGTCTACATGATAAATAGAAAGGTTTAATGTCATACTGCGAAACATTCTAGACAAAGCAATAACATCTCCATGGAGAAAAGTATTCGATAAACCCTCCACCAGAAAAAGTTACACAATGCACCTTTATATTCGAAAACATATATTTTTGCAATGCTTTGTTACAAACACCTTCACCTGACCTTTGGTTATCTTGTTTATAGTGCTATTGACTTAACTTGTGTGCTAAAAATGTAATTACAAGTGACTGATATTTACAATTTGTGTGCATAGCCTCTGCCTGCATAATTTCAAGGGATACACCTCTTACATCATGTCCAATGTCCCTGTGTGTACTGAGTCACCTCCCCTAAACACACAGATGAGTTGACGTCATTTTCTCTTGTCAATAGTCCTTCTTTTGAGCTCCGATCAAAGTCCTGCATTGCTCACAAACTTGAGTTTAAAGGTGCATTATGTAATTTGGCTTAAAGCTCACAAGAGTCAGTTTTGTGTAATATGGGTCCTTTAAAATCTTGTCCCCAGGTGTGTCCATCCTTATTTCCACAAAGACGAGACACTGTGTCCTCTGCCCGTGTCCCTCCACAGACAATCCCATTCAAGCTTTACTGATTAATTATTTACCCAGGCAATGAAAATCTAGAGAGAGACAGCAGCAGGAAGCAAAAAGGTCACTGCTCTCCCCAATATATATCGCCATCTTATACTACACTCTCTTCGCAATGATGGATGGCAATAGCATCTTTATCTGAGCCTGGTTCCGACAGTTTTCATCCCGTTACCGCGGAGACCAAGGGCAGAGCCAAACTTGAGTGATGAGGGGGAATCTCCGGCAAAAGCCCTCATTTAGAGACCGCTCACATGTCAGAGGTGCAGAGCTGCTGGATCAATAGCGGTCTGTCAAAACACAAGGACTGGACCATTATAGCGTAACCTCTCTGTGAATCCACGAAGAAGAGAGGATGTTACCGTGGATACAATGATGACAATGTATAGGCCTGTTACGATAATAATTTTGAAGTTTAGATGATGAACGTTAATAGCAGATTTAAAAGTGCAATGTGTAACTTTTTTTTTCTGGTGGAGGGTCCGTCAAATCCTTTACTCCATGGAGATGTTATTGCTTCGTCAGGAATGTTTCACAGTATGGCATTAAACCTTTTTATCTTCATGGTGACCAAACCAGACAAGTTACAGGTCATATCTGTGGAGAGGCAACACTGCTCACAGTCAGAATGCCAGTTTTGTTTTTTTTGGGTATTTTTGAGCTATGAAACCACCTGTAAGTGAATAAATGTAAGTTAGAGTTGTTTAATGCCATACTATGGTACATTCCAGGCAGCAATGGCTTATCCATACAAACAAGGAGGTGACAGACCAGCCTTTTTTAATAATTATATATCTACATGTAATTATCATACAAATGTTGTCACAGAAAGATGTGTTTTGATGTAGATGTGGGTGCAAAGGTTAATATTGGTGGTATTGTCTTCACAGGTGCTGAAACAGCTGGCCAAATGGGGTGCCAATGCTGCCGGATGATAAAAAGGTGAGCATGTTGTCTATAAATACATTGTTTCCCAGTACTTTTTTGCATAAATAGTGTTTTTTAGCTTTAGCTTCTGTGCCGTTATCTCTCGTGAGTGCAGTTCGGGTCACCTTTCTAAATGACTCATTGATTAGCAGGTCATGTTTTTAGTCAACTAAGAGTTTCTTTAGTCGACCACAGCCCTAACTTTTATTCCATTGTTTAAAACATGTTTATTTTCCAAGGGGGCTGATTCAGGCCATTGTACTTTTTCTTATTTCATTTCTGTTTGTCCAGCTTCTGATAAAAGAGAGATTAGTCAGTCTAATGGACACATGAAATCTTAATGGAAGTCATGTAACCCACTTATTTTCAGTCAAATCTGGACCAATTTTGTACTCCAATATATATAATAATAATAATAGGAATATTGCCTGGACTTTTTTGTCTCATTACAAGTCTGCTTCAAGCTTTGACATGGGAATTCTCAAGATCCAACAAAAGCTCAATCTTCGGTTTCTCAGGCCATCCCCAGGGCCACCAGCTTTACCTGTTCTTATATTCACCCCCAAAAATATGGGCGGAATATGAATAATGCAATGATTTTTTTTGCTCCAGAGGGTTCAGAACCAGATTCGGTTTGAATTAAGAGTCATACTAGTCAGGCAGAAAAAATAGGCCAAAACATGAAGGTTAAGTTGAGTTAAATGGCAGAAACGGTATGACAACTTTAACATTAGAAACATTATTCATTTAGTTCCACCTTATATTCTTTCATATCAGGAGGTTGTGGGATTTTAATAATATATTTAGATTTTTTTTTTTTTTTATTTATTAAAAACTGTCAGGAGATGGGAAGTAGGGATGCAACAAGATCCAAATCTCTCGGTACGATATTTTCAAGTTATGCATCTCAGTATTTATTGTGATATTCTGTGGAGGCTAAACTGTGAATCCACTACTTTTTCCTCTTAAAACTCCTTGACAATACTTAACCTAAAGAACTAAGGTTTAAAAGTGTTTAGAACTGTGATTTCTTCATGTAGTCTGCACTGAAATGGAGCAAAGATTCATGATCTGTGTAGTTCCCTGTTTTTTTAGCTGTTGCTGCACCATAACTATTCATTTAAACAAAGAAACTTGTAATTCGATATATTGTGATGGTCCACGATATTATTATGAGACCTTTGAAGATACAATATCACAATATTTCAGTTATTGTTACACCCCTAATGGGAAGGAGGCCAAATCTGCCTATTTCTCATTATTTCAAGTCAATTAAATCATACATGTCTTTGCACAGGAACGTTTTTATGTGCACTGTATTTAGGTTTGGCAAATTCATGTTGGCCTGCCAAGGAAAAAACACAGCTCTACCCTTTCAGCTGTGTAAAACTCTATAGTAATTACTTGTCCCATTTAATCCGGACAGTGAGGACTCCTTTCTGTGTGCGCCTTTTGTACAGAGCTGCTCAGTACGCCAGTAGCCATCACCCCTGGATACTGTGGCTGGACCGATGGGATGGGATGATGTCATACTCCCAGATGGGGGGAGAAAAGAGTCAGATTTCCCTATTAATTACATTGTAGTTTCCTATGAAAAATCCAAAAGGTAATTTCACAAACATGGTACTTAATCATTTTCAGAAACTAGACCCTAGAACTGGCTATTTAACAACTTTTTTATTGTATTGTATCAACTTTATTAAATAATATAGGCCTGTAGAGTGCTGTGATGTCACCTGAAACCCAGCAATTTGACTGCGTTTTCTGAAGTAAACCTGGAGGAAAAGCTACATACCACGATTGTAATCCTCCAGTATTTCTGTTCCCATGTCAAACGCACAGGGCTTGTGACACGGGCCGCATACCTTCTGAATTGTTGGAGCGTCACATTTCGAAGCTTAACTGTGCTCCGTGGTTTGGGGTGGGCTGCTGGGTTACTGGGTCAATTCCTCACACTTATGATCACATTCACACAGACTAATGCTCTTTTTGTGACACTCTTTTTTGCTATACTTTAAAGGCCCTTTGTTATTACGTGAAATGGACTCTTGTGAGCTTTAAACCATGTTATAATATTATTACTTCATCAAAAACAGCTTTAAGCCATGTTATAATATTGCTACTTCATCAAAAACATACCTAGAGTTGTTTTTTGTTTCATTCATATATGTTTGAATAATCCTTTATTATTAGTCTGTCTACATCTCCAAAGCTCAAAATGTTCTGTTGCACCTTGTAATGTCATGAAGCAATAGTTTTCAAGTTAACAGCTACCTTTTACCTTTTGTTCAGTAATGATGGCCAGTTCAAGGAAATTATCCAAAGTGAAAGTGTATGGAGTTTAAAAACACAATGGAGCACTTCCTGTGACATCACAAAGTGCACTGTTTTCAGTTTGAGAAAAGAACTCAGGCTTAATATGCAAGATGTGTGTGTTAAATGTGTGAATGAAACAACACACAGCTTTAGATATGTTTGTGATGAGGAAACAACATTATAACATAGATTGGAAAATAGCCTATTATGGGCCCTTTAAGTCTCTGGTTTGCCTAAAAAGTACTGGATAAGTATCAGAAAATGTGTTGGACTTAATTCATTAAGCAGGAATTACATAAAAAGCTTTGTAGGCTACTTGTCAATAAAGGATTACTCAAACATGTGCGAATAAAACAAAAACTCAACTCCAGGCTTGTTTTTAAGGAGGTAACAGCATTATAACATGACTTAAAGCTCACAAAAGTCAGTTCTGCATAATGTAGGACCTTTAACAGAGCCTTGAGATCATGACTCCCCTGTACATTAAAAATTCATGTATCCGCTTTTGTTTGTGCTCTTATGTAAGCTGTAGGGTTCACTCACTCACATGCAGCAGGTGTGAGCTCCTTGTGTAGCTGCAAAGTGTGATTTAAGTGATTATTGATACTTTTCAGTGACATTGTGGTGGGGGTGTTCTACATATATCTGCACTGGCCGGAACGTCCATTAGTTACCATGGTGACACAATGCACACATTAGCAAACACTGACAAAACAGTTTTAAGAGCGTTTGAAAACCAAATTGATTTAAACAACACATTTTCAGCAGCCTGTGATCAATACAAGAGTACATGGTCCAAGTCAGCTCTTTCTGTTTAGACTGTGTTAAAACAAAACTCAGATTAAGTCTAATTTGAGTAACAGAGCTTCAGACAGAGTAGTGCTTCAGTTAGCATCACAACCCTAGGGAACGTAGATGACATCTGATGCAAATATCAATAAAACACTGGAAACCTGCCACTGTAAGTCATGGTAAATATTGTATATATTCTTCAACATGGAATCTAAGGAATCCCAGAGTGAACAAGAAGTCCTCTGACATGACTAGGCCCACTTTATGCAAACGTCTGATTTGTTAATAAAATGGATTCATTGAGGAAGATTTTCACTGTAGTCACAAACAATAGCCAGAAAAGGATATTAAATCTAAAACAGTCTTACTTCGTTAAATAAATATTATGATGAAATGTATGTTGGATGTAACCATATCCAAATCTCTCAGTACGATATTATCACGATATGCATCTCACAGCATGATATTTATTGCGATATTTTGAAGAGGCTGATATAATTGTAGACAGGACACTTTTTTGCTTCTAAAATACCTTAACAAGATTGTGGTGTGAATTATTTCTGTCATAATCCCAAGAATTCAAGTAAAAAACATATTTCTTCATGTTGTCTCCGCTGAAATGAATCATGGGATATGTAGTCCCCGATGTCTATAAGGTGTTGCTACTGTGAAACAATGCATTTAAGCAAAGGAACTTGTGAGTCAATATATTGTGACAGCCCTCGATATTATTGTGAGACTTTTAACGATACGATATAACAATATTTTGACTATTGTTACATTCCTACAATGAAAACTATGCATGGTTATCACAATTATAGAATATAATTAGTAATATTTTCAAAATGGTTGGAAAATCTGGGCCATGACATGTGACTAAATCAGATTTCATATTTTACAGTATTATGGATATTGTTTGACACTTTTTTATTTTTTTTACATAATTCTGTTTGTTAAAGGCCCATATTCCGCAATTTTCTGATCTATGTAACAATGATGTTTCCTCATGAAAAACATACCTGGAGTTGTGTTTTGTTTCATTCACACACGTTAAACACAAATCCTGTCTAGGCTGAGTTCGTCTCTCAGATGGAAAACACTCTGCTCCACTTTGTGATGTCATGTAGTGATACAGGAAGTGCTCAACTGTGTTTTTAAACAAATTCGGATAATTTCATCCCTGGAATTGCCAATCTCTACTGAACAAAATGTAAACTGTAGCTACTAACATGAAAACTACTCCTTCATAACACCTATATAGCACCTTTTGAAGTACTCAATGTACTTGTAAAACAGATTAGACTTCACAGTTGCTCGGGGCAGACTGGCAGAGATATGGCAGACGTGCTATGAATACGCCAACGGATATACTGTACCAACAACTCCACACATTCATATACTGTTTAGCAGATAAGGGACACCAAGGGTTAAGTGTCTTGCTTTAGGACAGCAGTGTGGTGGAATCCAAACTACCAGCTTTCTGAAACACAAGTCGCGTTTCCATTTTAGTTTGCAAAAACAGTTGGATTTCCTTGATCGACCTTTGCTGGGCTTTATTTGTATTTGCTCTGGTATGAACCTCAAATTTCACCTTAGCAGCACCAGACAGACAGAAAACATCTATTTTCTTCACCGTGAGGGGTGATGGAGGAGAGAAACCACCACCATCCGTCTGTGAAGTTTGTTTCCAATTCTGTGGTTGTGACTTTAAGGTCGAAAAGTGGGCTCTCAAACCAAGATATCAGGAGGAGTGAATTAGCATGTGTAGCCAGAGAGGGAGGAGGCTGGCTCTGTGGTGGAGAAAACAAATGAGCTCTCAAAGCAGATGGGTGTGAGCAGGCACAGCGGGTGACGTCTGGCGGCCGGCGTACGAGGCTGTGAGACGAGACGCACGAAAACAAAGCCCC